AAACTAGCAATGCAAAACATGTTTGTCACTTGGGTTTGCCACCCAAATCTTGTACATTTGTTAGTGCAGTGTGGGTTGGACTCTTGTGCAGAAAGATTACATATAGCTCAGTTCAGATGATAGTAAACGTAATAATATGGAGTAGAATTAAATATAACCAGTCTCTGTTCTATCTTTTTAGATTGGTTTCTTTTTCTAGTTAAGTGACTCTTATACTGAGTACAGTATTTAAAAAACTAATACTTGAACAGGGGTGCTGGGACAGTTTTTATAGTGGGGGTGCTTCGAATAATTGAAACACACTATAAACCCTATATATAATGGAAACCACTTTAGGCCAGGGCCGTGCTGTAGTACCCCTACTTCCAGAACCTATGTGCTTGAAAGGGGGGATGGGAAGACACAGTGGATTTTTTCCAGTGGTGTTAATGCTGGTACTATGGCGTGTCTAGTGTTTACAGTAGAGGAAGTTAGACTTGTAACATGATTTTTTTTCTTGTACACTTCCCTCTCTGTCTTCGTTTACAGTGATCTAAAAATAGAAGGGCAGAAACAGCGACATCCTTCTGGTGGGGTTTCAGTCTCTTCAGAGATGGTTCTTGGATTGGAAGGGGTGGAGATTGGAGCTGATGGCAAGGTAAGGAAATACATTCATTAGAAGAAAGTAAGTATCTGTGGGTGGAGTAGGAGACTGAGGTTTGGTGAGTCTCAGTGTTATTCCCTGCTCTGCCCTATCTGATGGTGAAGTGTGGAAATTAAGTGACTCTCTTACTTGCCCATCCATAAAGTGAGGTTTCCGCTCTCCAGAGATGTTGAAGTTTAACTATTGCTTAAAAGCACTTTGAGATCTGTTCATGAAAGGTATCTTTGGAGGGAGAGAAGCTGCTTCTCCATGTGGGACTAATGGGCCACAGCAGTCTTGCTGAGTCTGGTGAGATTGGTGGGGAGTCCAGTTCATTCTTCCCACTGGCAGAGAACCTGTCTGCTGCTTAGGTTCTCAGAGCAAAGCACTGCTGCTTTGGGGCAGATAGGGGCCCAGTCTTAGATTAGAATATTCGTGTTTAGTTATATTTGGCATGCTGCTAAAATTTTGCTGACAATGCAAGCACTGAAAGAGAAATAGTGACTCCTCAAACATTTATATTTCTACCAAACCTGAATACAATTCAGTGGGACACAGAAACAGTGCTTCTTGGGCCCCTGGCTTTCTCTTTGTTGAATTTACATAGGCCTGTTGCAACTGTTTGAGGAGCCTCTACTGTTTGCAACAGGATAAATTAGAAAGTATGTGTTTAGCCCAAATGTAGAGGCCTTTCACAGTTCCTCCTACAATTACTAACACTTGTTGTGTCTCTTTAGGTTGTGTCCTATGCAAAGTTCTTGTATCCAACCAATGCCTTCGTTGGCCGCAAAATTGATAGTCACGGTCCTGTTCCTCCATGTCGGTTCAGTGCTTCACGAAGTCTTACAGGCTCAAGACATAAAACTGTAACAGCTAAAGCAATACCATCAGGAACTGAAATAGGTAAAAAATCCATGCGACTTTGTACTGCTTGCATGCAAGGGGAATTGCAATACCTTTGCCTTGTAAGATGCTATAAAAAGGCAAGAATACATTTGCCTGGAGCAAGGTTGCATAACCGTAGGAACTGAAGGCTGTTGGCAAAAAGCCCTTTAGGAAGGATTTGATAAAGCTGAGAATTCTTCAGGAGGCCATTCCCTCAAGCTGTGACCAAAGGCTAGTGAAGGAACCAAAAGAGCAGACTAGAGATAACACAGTTTTTACTCCTTTGTGTTTAGAAGCGATGAAGGACTTGTACAATAACCAGTGCTGATCTTTGGAATTGCTATTTCCTTACCTGTTCTGAGTAATCAGTTTGTGTCTCTTGATAGGAAATGTAACTAACACTAGGCTTTGTAGAGAATAGATTAAAAAAAAATTATCTTGGCCTTTAACTTAAGAGTTACTTAAACACTTAGATATGGAAGTGTAAGGAAGAACTCTTCCTTTGCCCTTCCAGCATCACAAGGCCTAACCAAAAGGAACACTGATAAGTGTTATTTCTTAAATTCAGACTAAATATCATAGACTTCATGTATCTAACTAGTTGCCCAAAAGATTTTATTTAAGAATATAAACAAGTGCATTGTGTGTCTGTCATCTGTGAGAGTGCTTTTGCTATTTTCACACGTGTAAGTTCAGTTATGCCGGGCTTACATAGAACTGGGCAAGATGTGGCCCAGGGGCTGGATTCGTCCTGTCTGACACTTTGATCTGGCCTATGGACTGCATCTGGCCACTTTCTAGTTGTATCTTGTTTCCTGTGCCACCGAATTTCCAGATGGTGGCTCAGGCAGCAGGATCCTATTTAAATGGCTCACTGTTGCAGCCCTACTCCAGCATGGGCTCACTAGAGCCGTGAGCCCTTTAAATAGCCTCAACAACCCTGGGTTAGATGGGTTCTTTTATGGCTCAGGCATCAAAGATTCTAAGTGCGGAATCTTGATCATGTCTGGTAATGGATGAGGTAGCCAGAACTCAGTTGAATTTTCATGCAACAAATTTAAGGTTGCATGACTGGCTATTGAAGTGTTCATCTTTCAGTTTGCAAAAAGAGCTCCTTTGGAACAATGGAAAGCTATAAATGTGGAATGATATGGATATTGTTTTTAGTCACTTTTCAGGTTATAACAACACCTGGAAACAGTATCATTGTAATGGAATACAATACATACAATAGACATTTGTGTGTGTCTGGCCAACATGTGTAATCACTTTACTTTGACCCTCCTCTAAACTTAGAATCTCCAGTGCTATGCCCTTTATGGCATCCTTATGCAACACCCTCAAATCAGCTTTACCACAAGAGCTTTCCTTCAGGCCTTTACCCTTGCTGCTTGAATGCTCAGGGAGCAGGAACCTGCTGTGCTTCAAAGCGCCAGAGATGTTCTCTAACAATCTGCTGACTTCAGTGGAACATAAATAGCATGACAATAGAACACCAGGTGCAGCAGAATGCCAGTAGGCCAAAATAACGGGATGCTTTTAACTCGGCAGTGTAAGGACTACTGATGAAAACATCCAGCTGACTCCTCTTCTCCACACAGTATACTTTATGCTCACCACCCTTCTAAAACGTGGAGATGGAGCCATATTCTTTCTTGTGCTCCAGCCCCTTAATGGCAATCTGGAAGTGGCCTTCACAGAATCATCCTGGTAGAACATGCTCCTAGATAAGTGCAGGGTTCTTTTTCTCTTCTGTTTTCACCATGTCCCTTCCTTAGCATAAATAGGAAGGAAAGGGTATAACCAGACTATTGTGCATTCCACTCTTAATTCTTTTCACTAGAACCCTTGTAATATCCATGGACCAAGTCTACATTATGGATGCAATCTTGGTTCATGGTAGATCTTATGGTTTTTCACATGCAGTACCTCACATATGGTGTCAAGTATCAGAGGGGTAGCCGTGTTAGTCTGAATCTGCAAAAGCGACGAGGAGTCCTGTGGCACCTTATAGACTAACTGAAGTGTAGGAGCATAAGCTTTCGTGGGCAAACACCCACTTCGTCAGATGCATGTAGTGGAAATTTCCAGAGGAAAGCTTATGCTCCTACACTTCAGTTCGTCTATAAGGTGCCACAGGACTCCTCGTCGCTTTCACATATGGTGTGTTACTATTTTTAAACAGCAAAAAAAAAAAAAAAAAAGCAACCATAATGTGCTTGGTTTTTTTTTTTAAAGCACTTGCCTTTCCTCTCTCGTCACCACCTTCCAAGTACTGTCTTTGTGGTCATAATGCACATTATGTACTGCAGTGTCTCCTAGACCATGAGTAGGTAACCTGTAGTTTCTGCGTTTGCAGACCCAGAATTTGGGGCATTCAGTAACATACTTAAATGAACATTCTCCTACCATTTGCAAATTGCCTCTAATCTTAGAGGTACATCAGGAAAGCTTAAAGCTATTTATTTCTTACAACTCTTGTTTGTGTTCACTTTCCCCATTCTTTCAGGAAACGAAGTGGGTGAGTTATCAGAGTACAATCCAAATCTCCTGGATGATCCTCAGTGGCCCTGTGGGAAACACAAACGTGTTCTCATCTTTGCATCTTACATGGTGAGAAATTAATATTTTAACCGAGCAGCTGTCTGGCTTTCAGTGCATACTTACTCAGTGCATAAATGCTCAATCTTGGTAAAGAACTTCCTTGGATAAAATTTACCCTGTTTGCTGGATATTTATTGGGAAAACTATATATGGACATAGTAGTGCTCAAGTTCAATGCACAGCTGAGTTTAAACAGTGCCAAACACTATATTAGTAATGTTTATCAGAGTGCAGTAAAGATCTTGTCTTTAGGGAGATTAAACTTCTGTCTGAGATTCAGTGGTGATGACCCAGATAAGCATAGATTCTTATTACAGTGAATATGCAAGGGATGTATGTTCAGTAATACATCAATTTGTTAATGTGTTCTGAAACAATATTATGGACAAAGGCACATTTTTAAAATGTTGCAGCAAAATGTTGTCTAAATGCAGAGCAATGACCGGTATCAGTAATTTCGGCACAAACTTCATTCTCTGACACCTCTTCGTTGTTATAACCACACAGCCTGCTCACGCTCTTGCCCCTGAATGCTTTGCTGAAGTGGTCTTTCTTCACTTGTCATATAGCCCATGAAATAATAGGGATGTAAATTCCCCTTTAAAAAGTTAACTGGTTAAACAATATAATTTTAATCAGTTAACTGGGGTCCAGATGGCCTGCCACGGGGGTGGGGCAGCTCCGGACACCCAGGATCCCTCCAGGCCACAGCTGATGCTTACAGGTAACTGGTTAACAACATAACCTTTCACTCCGTAGAAATACTTGTGGGGGGGGATGTGTATGTATAAGCTTTTCACATTTTTGGAGCATTATATAGACTAACAGCAGATGGATGGCGGTGTGGCCTACAGCAGGCATCTATAACAGCATATAGCATTCCATACTCGCCACTGGCACAATTCTACCATAATCATTTTGTAGGGAACTGGGGGCTGACACAATTGCTGGGTCCTTAGCAAGCTGGATGGGAGGGGCTCCCATGTTCCTGGAAGGGGTGGGGTTAGGGGCAGTGGGCAGCCAGCTGTCAGCACTGTGTGGAACATGCTGCACAGTGCTCTGGCAGCAGTTTTAAAGGGCTCCAAGCCCTAGCTGCTGCTGCAGTAGCAATGGTGGTGGCTGGAGCCCTGCACCCTTTTGAATTGCTGGGCCCAGGGGCAACTGTCCCATTTCCCACCTACTCCCTCTCCCTCCCAGTGCCCCTGGTAGGGAAGATCTTACGATAAGCAGCCTCACTGACAGCTGAGTTCTAGCTTCATGCTGCCCTCTGCTTATTAAAGGTAAAGCATTCGGTAGTTAATGGAGCCTGTAAATCAGACTCTGAGAAGCTTATATTAGAAAGGGCACCAATCTGTCAGGTCCTGGTTCTGGTTCTGGCTCTGCCTCTGTGACCCTGAACAAGTGGCTGACCCGCCCAGTTGGTTTCACAGTCTGTAAAATGGGGATAATTATCTGTCTTGTAAATTGCTGAGATTTAATAACTTGCAAGCACTAAGTGTGCACTATAGGAGTGCAAAATATTATTAAAGACCTGTTTGTCTTGCCTCTGTTTCAAACAGAGGGTATGTTTGAAGGGCACTGTAATGCATAGAAAACTTTCCTCTTCTGTTTCAGACCACAGTAATAGAATATGTGAAACCCTCAGACCTTAAAAAGGACATGAATGAAACTTTTAAAGAGAAGTTTCCTTACATCAAGTTAACACTGAGCAAAATCAGAAGGTAAGAAACAAGCAGTTGAACAGAATGGGGAGAGAGTCAATGTCCTTTAAGCCTCTTGTACAAGCTCCTTTCCTCTAATACTTGTATTGCATTAAGTATTAATTCTATTAATAGTCTATATGATTAAATTCTGATAATCTCTTATTACCAGTTAAGCTGTCTGTGGGAGGGCAGCCATAACAGAAATGGTTAGGATGCTGGGAATATTCCTCATGTAACTCAGCCTAAAATGGCTATTTTCAGACTACAATTCCTTCATGGTTAACTTAGTACTGATATAATGTTAGCAAGTTATACCTGGTGAACACTCCTGCACACTATGGATCAAAACGTAAGTGCTCTCTGTCTTTTCTGTAAGTTGTTTGTGCCTCCATCTTTACCACATAGTTATCGGTTTCTATTTGAGTAATAAGAAAATGTGGTCTAAGATTGTTATTGGGGGGGGAATATAATCCAGGCAACTTCACCTTCAGGTTCTTGTGCATGTCCATTCCAAGTTCGGTGCCTCTGTTCGCCACATGTGTCAGAAGTTTTACCCTTGATACCACCTGTAGAGGGCCTACTCTGGCAAGAAGTAGAAGATTGGGAGAGGTCATTTTCCTCCTGCTCACAAGGGCAAAGAGAGGGCAGGAGGCAAGCCTAGCCCCACAAAGAGCAGCTCACTGACTCCAGGTGAGAGTCGGGCCCCAGACTTGGCTGAGTGGAAAAGCCCTTGCAGGGACGCCCCTGCACGGCACTGGAGTTTGGCACTTGGAATTGCTGTCAATCCTGGAGGCCCTTAGAGCAGCTTAAGATGTATTGTCCCTTATAGCCTTCCACACTGCCTATGGCAGTTCCAAAGTTTAGGGGTAAACCTGCCCTGGGACCATTCCCTCAGTCCCTGTCTGTGTGGCTCTCCTCATCACCTCAAGGACCATCCTACTGGTGCTCACCTGCCACAAGTTACCATGCCCTACGTGGTGGGTTGCCACCTGCACAGAACCCTTGATGCCAGTCTCCGGGCATGGTTCCAAAGGCTCAAAGCACCGATTGCAGGGTAGGTGGTGTGGCCAGCAAGAGGCATATCCAGCCATGCAACCCCGGTACCAGGGGCAGGAAATCTGCTCTCCATGCAGTCAGCATCCCAAACAAAGTTATTCTAGGCCCCCTGCCAGTGGTCCCATAAGATGATGCCAGGGCTCTCCAAGAGCTCCTAAAGTGGGTGGCCTCTAATCTGGGTTTAGAAACAGGAATTTGAGCAGCCTCCCAACTCGCTCTTTAATGAGCTCAGCTCAGCAGCCCTAGCTAGGATTCCACTCAGCGTATGAAGGTGTAGCCAAAATCTCTAAGGCTCTTTGGCAAACCCAATATTTGCTTCTCCCAATTTCAACGCAGGTGGAGCATAAGTATGAGGTGTCTGCTAAGGGGTGAGAGTACTTGTATACCCACTCTGCTCCAAACTTGCAGGTAGTTTCAGCAGTGAATGGGCAAAAGAGGCAGGATCAACCTAGTGCCACTCCCAAGAATAAGGAGGCAAAGAAACTAGACCTTTTTGGGAGAAAAGTTTATTCTTCAACGACCCTGCAACTTAGCATGGCACCATCAGGACCTGATAGATTAAAATCATGGCAGCTTGTGACAGTCCATGGCCAAATTTGTTGGTTCCCTTGCAGAAGGTCCCAGGCAGGAATTTCAAGTCCTCCTGGTAGGGGGCCAAGATGTGGCTAGAGCAGCCTTGCAGGAAGCTTTGGACACTGCTGATTTGGCAGCACAGTCCATGACCTCTGCTATCATGGTGCAGGTGGCAAGGCTCCAATCCTCGAGGCTGTCGGCAAAAGGGCAAAATCTCCCTTTCGATAGTCTGGCCCTGTTTGCAGACCAGACAGATGAGTGCCAGGGTCTCTCTCAGATTACTGGGCCACATGCTGTTATGCACATGTTATGAGAGGCTACAAATGCGGCTGCTCCAGGAGTGGCTAGTGACAGCCTATGTCCCGTCTAAGGATCATCTGGACAAGGTGGTCAGTATTCTGCTGGATGTACTCAAGGCACTGCAGTGATGGATCAATCCAGGTATGGTCCCCTAAGGGATACCGTTTGACAACCCCCAATCTTCTGTGTATTTATTGGACACCTTGGATGGGAAGTTCACCTCGGATGTAAACACGAGGTACATGGCACCTAGAAGAGTTGATATTGCACATAGTCTTCAAACTTGGGGCACTTTGCAGGGCCTGTGTGGTATTCCTCCCACAGCTGGAAGGCCGTGTGGGCCTAGTGTTGGTGGACAACATGGTCTCCGTGCTCTACATCAGAAGATAGGGAGGAGTGGGCTTTTCAGCCCCCTGCTAAGAGGCGATGCAGCTTTGGGAGTTCTGCATGCACCATGAGATCCATCTGAAGGAATTTCATCTCCCTGGCATTAGAAACACATTGGTGGATTGCCATGGCAAATCCCTTTTACCTCCCTCCTTGTGGTACCACCTTTACTTGGAGGTGTGGGACTCTCCACATGGATTTCTTCACCACAAGGCAAAATGTGAAGGGTCATATAATCTGCTCCCTGTGAAGTCCTGGCAATTGCGCTCTTGCAGATGCTTTTCTCCTGTTTCAGTCAGGTGCGTGCGTGCGTGTTCCTGCCCATTCTTCTGGTCAAAAATCAAGAGGGACAAAGCCTGGGTCACCTTGACCGTCCCACATGGCTACGCCAGCATTGGTTCAGCATACTCATGAACCTTGTCATAGCACCACAGTAGACACTGCTCCGTAGCCAGACCTCCTGTTGCAGGACCACAGTTGTCTCTTGCATCCAGCTACATGTCCCTACACCTCATGGGATGGCTACTGCCTGATTGAATCCAGAAGAGCAGGTGTCTTCTAAGGAAGTGCAGGTGATACTGTTGGGCAGCAGGAAGCACCGTCTAGATTAATGGGATCCCTTGGGCTTCTGGACTTATTTAATGTGCAAGGTTGCCTTGTGGCAATGGCATCAGCCAGGTGAGTGTCAGAGCTGAAAGCCTGGACTTTGGAACCACTGTGTGCTTTTTTTATTTACGTGGTCCAGCTTCGATTCCACCCATTTTTTACTCAAGATGGCATCATCCTTCCATCTTAACGAGATTATTTTCCTCCTGATTTTGTATCCTAAGCTGCATGCTAACAGTGAAGAAGCCCTGGGTTTTTACCTGGAACAAACCAGGCCCTTTAGGAAATCAACCCAGCTCTTTGTAGCAACTGTGGAAAGGATGAAGGGCCTTCTGGTCTCCACACAAAGGCTCTCCAATTGGATTACCTCCATCAAGGCATTTTATGACCTCATGCGTGTCACACTGACACCCTCCCTCCCCCAAACGACATAAAAGCTTGCTCAACAAGGGTGCAGGCATCATCTGCTGCATTCCTTACTCATGTCCTGATCCAGAACACCTGTAGAGCCACAACACAATCTTCTATATACACGTGCATGTCTCATGACACGCTCACCCAGCAAGCTAGGGATGATACTGGCTTTGGCAGTGCTGAGCTACGAGCAACGTATTCCTGAACTTCCACCCACCTCTGAGGACGCTGTTCGGGAATCCCTTCCTATGGAACAAACATGAGCAAGCACTCAAAGGAAGACTGATACCAGTCACGTAACGGGTGGTATCTGAGATGTTCTTCACGTCCATTCCATAACCCTCCCTCCTTCCCCGCTGTTGGAGTTTCCGGCAAGAAAGGATGGGGGAGGGGAGTGCTCGGAACCCCTTATACAGTGCCATCTGGCATTAGGTGCCACACTAATGGTTGCCAGAGTTGCTCGCCTACAGGTACTTCTAAGGGAAAAAACTTCCGGCACCGTAGCATGTGGCGAGCACACACGCCTGACTTGGAATGGACATTAGCAACACATCTTGAACACCAGTTATGAGACAGGTAACTGTCTCTGTGGCACAATATGGCAATTCTCTTTTAAATATATATATATTTGTTATAGTAGCTTTTTAGTGAAATGCAGATCAGATATTCAAAACATTATTTATGACATTGTTAGAAGTTAATGTGTTAATAGTCATTTCTGTTTTCAGGGAGGGACATTGTAGCCCTCTTTAGAGGGGTAAAAGCTTGATACGGTACTGTCTTGCCAGTGAGAGACTGTCTATAAATAGCAAATGTAGGTCCTGATTCTGCAACTCCTTCTGCTCTTTAGTCCTCTTCACTTCTGTGGGACTGTGCATGAGCATAAATTTCAGCTTCCCTAGAGCACATCTGTTCTTCTGGGTTCAGTCCTGCAGTAGCCATCCTGTGAGGTGCAGGGACATAAAGTCAGGGTGCAGGAGTGAGCCCTATGAAAATTCAGACACCACTTGAAATTGCTAAAGTTCAGTAACTTTATAGTTTTTTCAGTTAACTTAAAACAACTTGGAACAGAGTTTTATTGGGACTTGAATTCATACTTTCTCAGTTCTCATCTGTTTTGTGACGTTTTTAAGATTAGTTTTCTGTTTTCATTAAATGTATTAATTCTTATATTTACACACTGAATATTTTCTTAAGGACTTAATCTTCTTAGTACAACCACTGCAGCTATTTACAATCCAGAATCCTACAACAATTTTTGTTTAATATACCATGTCTTGGATGTGAAGAACAATAGATGAGGCTGTTAAACTTGAAAAATCTAGTTCTGTATTTACAGGCAGCCACCCCACGCTGCAGGCTTGTTCCTCTCTCCTCAGCAGCTCCCATTCCCTATACTTGCATGTTGAGAGAAATCTTTTCCAGGTAGAGCGTGACCAGTAGCATTAGGAGCTTGCAACTGCCCTGCCAAATCGCCTTACACTTGGCTATGGAGGGACTGCTTCCATGTAACAAGATGCAGTCTCTTTGGCCTATGAAAGTGCCAGTTAATACCAGCCATCCTGGTGGTTTCAGCTTTCTGGAGGCCTGTCTACTGGAAAATACCACTAGGGTTGCCAGGTGTCCTGTTTTGAACTAGAAAGTCTGGTATTTGAGCTTTCTGTCTGGAAAACAAATTAAGAAAATACCGGACATCTAAATGTCTAATTACTTTCTAATTAAGTTTTATTATCATGAATGTCAGTATGTAGTTGCGTACTGCCTGGCTGGTAAACACGCTCACACCAGCCAGGCAGTATGCAACTATGTAGTAGAGAGGAGGGAGGATGGGGGGCAGGGGGAGGATGGAATCCCCGGGGCTGGACTCGCTCATGCGCTGTGCCGGGGCCGTGCGCAGGACGGGCAGCACCACGGGATCTGCATGCGCCCGGGCCAGCCCCACTCCCTGCCGGCCAATTCTCTCCCTCCAGCCTC